TGGTGACTGTGCAGGCCTCGTGGCCATGGTCCCCACCAGGTCCTCTGCAGGGGCCGGGGCTGAGCTGAGGAGGGGTGGGAGAAGCAGCCTCACCCCTCCTTCTGCTCCAGGCTTTCAGGGAGCCCAGTCCACCCTCCTCACCATCCCCCTCCCTTCTGCTTCTCTTGTAATTGTGCTCAGCACCGCGGGACATGATCATGACTGCTAAGAGGCCTCCTTGCTGAGAAGAGGGGTGTCTCTCTCTAGGTGTGGGTTCCTGGACAGATTTTTATCTCTTGTTCAGCTGCCTTTCTTTACATCATGTTCAGAAGAGACCACAATTCCTCGTTTGTGTACGCGCTCTTTGCAACTTGCTTTCTATGAGGTAGAAAACCTCTAGGTGCATTTTCCTCCCCTCCTCCCAACCTCCATATCTTCTGAAAAAAAAAAAAAAATTATCATCCTACAGTGAAAACCATGCTGTTATTGATGTCACTCGCCCTTGGAATGCTCTCCCAGCTTTCCACTCCTCTGCCTGCCAAGCACACTTGACCTGTGGTATGCAAAGGTCCCAACAGCACTGACCAGTCTCCCCCGAGCTGTCTCACTTGTCCGAAGTATGTGGTGTGACAAGATTAGAGGGGCATGTGGAGGAGGACCCAGGGAGGATGGAGAAGGACCATGCCAGGTGAGGAAAGAGGGAAGATCGGGAGGTCAACTAATAAGCTCGTGACCCCACAGTGGAAATGCAGACCAAGTCTATCAAACCAGAAAACAAACAAACAAACAAGAAACCCTGGGAAACACAGGAACGGGAGCTTTGGAACATCCGAGACTGGAGATGTAATGACCCAAAGACTAAACTCAGGGAGGTTAAAAACAAAAGTACTTTTCTTTAGGGGAATGATGACTAAATCTTGTGGTTTATGGTGATTTGATGATGGCAAGAAAATTTGAGACTAATATTATAATGAACAACCAGCGTTTAATCTTTGAAAGGCATTGGCACAAAATACCGTTCATTTGCCTAACCACTCATAGAAGCCAAATGACTTGGCAGGTATTTTAGGATGTAAAGAATTTTTCATCTTGGAGGAACCTGGCTGGTTCAGTTGGAAGAACATGCAACTCTTGATCTGGGGGTTGTGAGTTCAAGCCCCACATTGGCTGTAGAGATTAAATAAATAAATAAGTAAATACATAAATACATAAATAAATAAACAAGAATTTTTCGCCTTGGGCAATTACACTGCAATCACCTGGGGTCCGGACTGAATTAGTCAAGGTTGAAGGCCAAGCATTAGCGGGTTTTAAAATTTCCCTGGGAGATGCATATGGGCAGCTATGGTTCAAAACTTTACAGGTATAAAAAGTCAGAACTTTCGGGGCGCCTGGGTGGCTCAGTGGGTTAAGCCGCTGCCTTCGGCTCAGGTCATG